GTGAAGAAGAAGGTTTCCCAGACATTTTCAGCTTCTATTACTAATTTCTGCTTTCCTCAACAGGAGGCCTCTTAGAGTAAATGTGTGTGGAACAAGTTTCTTTCTACTTCCATGGCCTTTTTCTCTTGGAAGCTCCTCTATGGCTTCATCCTTACTGATGATATTTTAAAATTAAAAGGTTTGAGAGGCCCTTCATGATGCTGCCTGTGTAAATGTGAGGAGGAATCCCTCCCCCACTTATTCTTTAAATGTTATCAAGTTCAATAGGTTTGGAACACTTTGTTACCTAAACTAAACTAAATACCATCCAGCTGTCTTGGGATGTTTTTTATTTAAGTTAGAAAAATTGGAAAGACCAACAGCTCCCTCCCATTCCTTGTATTATGGCTTTGTTTGTTTGGATATGGCTTGGTTTGTTTGGACGCCAAGAAATAAGCTGAAATTTGATGAGGTCCAATGGGGTTCCAATGCCATTGCTACTCACTCTTACAGCTACTTACAAAAATTGCACTGTCATAGGAAACTTCCTGAAATCCTATGCACTTCCTCCCTCTTTGGTTCAAGGAAATTTCAAACTATCCTTGTTCACTGGAATTATCCTCCTATGGGTTGGGTCAAAGTCAATACTGATGGTAGCTTCATTTCTCCTTATACTGGCTTTGGAGGAATTTTTAGAAATATAAGAGGTGAATGCCTACTATATTTTCAGTCTCCTGCCAAAGCTGAAGACCCTTTGGAAGCTAAAGCCCAAGCTGTTTATTGGGCTGTTTTCTTGGCCATAAAGTGCAGTTGGAATCTCTTAATGGTGGAAACTGACTCCATGATCTTACTTAACATCCTGGAAGGAAGGATTTCTTCCCCTTGGTATCTAATTTAGTGGATCACTAGTATACAAATCTTGAGCTTGAAGTTAAAGATGTCCCTTTCTCATACTTTTAAGGAGGGTAACAGACCTGCCAATTGGCTTTCTAAGGGTGGGCTCCATCAGAACCCCTCCATTGATACTTGTACCACTCCCCATTTAGAATTACTGTTGAAAGGAGATCTTGTTGATCTACCTTTCCTTATAGTTTTGCCACTTTAACTTTAGGGAAGTGCCTTTCTTGCCTTCCTTTTTGTAATTTCTCAATGAAATAGGAGCCTAGTCTCCTTTTATTATATA